TATATTTGCTTTGTTGCAAATATATCCATTTTTCCTTCCCTCTGTCTCAGTGGTTCTGAACCAGGAACAAAATTTCCCCCTGGGGAACATTTGCCAATGTCTGGAAGCTTTTTTTTTTAATTGTCACAACCTGTGTGTGTGGGAGAAACGCTGATCAGGACAACCTACAGGACAGTCCCCAACAACAAAGCATTCTCTGGTCCCCAGTGTTAATGACACTTGAGTTGAGAAATGCTGCAGTCTGTTCATTCATTAAAATGATTTGCAGACATCAGTGCACTTCATCCTAAACACTCCATCACACAGATTACCAGCTAGAGTTTGTCACTTCTCTCCTCGTTCTTTCTTTGAGGTAAAATTTATACACAGTGAAATGCACAATTCCTAAGTACACCATTTGATGCACTCTGACAAATATATACCCAACTATAAAAATACAGAGAACATTTCCACGCCCTAGAAAGTTACCGCCTGCTCCTTCCCTGTCAATCCCTGCCTCCGCCTCGCCCCCTCACCCCACCCCCGGGCAACTACTGTTCTGATTTTTATCACCATGATGCATTTTTGTCTGTTCTAGACCTTTTTATAAACAGAATCCTACAGTTGGTGATATCTTGTGCCTGGTTTCCTTCACTCCACATAAGGCTTTTGATATCCATCCATGTTGTTGTATGAATCTGTCGTTTCTTTCTTTCTTTCTTTCTTTCTTTTTTCATCACTCTGTGGTATCCCGTTGTATGGATATACTCGTTTGTTAATCCATTCTCCTGTCGATGGACAGCCAGCATATTTCCAGGGTTATTTGGGGCTATTACGAATAACAGTGCTATCAGTATTCTTCTACCAGTCTTTTCTGTGGGTCCATGTTTTTATTTCTCTTGAGTGGAATTTCCTAGTCACAGAGTAGATGTGAGTTTAATATCTAAGAAAATGCCACACCTTTTCCGGAGGTGGCTGTATTAGCAAACTATTGCTGCTGTAACAAATTGACACAATCTTTGTGACTTCAAATAGCACAAATTTCTTATCTTATACTTCTGTTGTTAGATGTCTAAAATGCGTCTTCAGGGCTAAAATCAAGGTTTCAGCAGAACTGTGTTTCTTTCAGAGGCTCTAAGGGAGAATTTGTCTCCATCCCTTAGGCTGAGTTTTAGGACCACACCTCCCCACATGGTGGCCACAAGTCACAGGAGTCCACTGACATTTACATTAGCTTTATTTATTTAGAATTAGTTTGTGGTTTTTGAATAGAGTTACTGGGGATTGAACCTTGGACCTCGTGCATGCTAAGCTCAACCACTTGAGCTTTACCTCCCCCCTCATTTACGTTTAAATTAGTTAAAATTGAATAAGATTGAAAATTCAGTTCCTTAGTCTCACTAGCCATATTTCCAATGCTTGATGACCCCACGAGGCTCATGGCTACCATGTTGGCAGCACAGATAAGCAACATTTCTCTCATCATAGAAAGTTCTTGATGTATCTACAGGGAACACAACCTGTCTCTTGCAGAGTTGACTGCCTTTCTTAAGATTACACAAATGTGTTATTATACCAGACAACTACCTTCCCACTGAGGGGTGAGGAAAAGCAGAAATAAAGAAGAGGCGAGAATGAGAAAAAAAAATCCAACCATAATAGTAATTGTCTGGCACTTTGTAAGTACTCATTACGTTAAAACACACACACACACACACACACACACACATAACTACCATCTAATGAGTATTTACTGGGCGCCAGGTCCTTTCTTGACTACATTATCTGACATGTGTTTATTCCCAGAGAAATAGAAGGAGGAGCAAGAGACAGACACTCCAGCCAAGCCCTTTCTTTTCCAAATAGCAGACGGATTAACCTTTTAAGCTCCACACACCTCTGAAGGCCAGCCATCCTGGAAGGAAATCTCCATTAAATGTGCCGTGCACTTATCCTAATACAGGGCTCATTATCTTTCCTGCCAAACCTGCTCTGATACCTGTATTTTCTCTCTCGGTAAGCAGCCTCTCCATCGATCCAGTTATCCAGGTTACGTAACAGGGGCACCATCACTGTGGCCCTCTCCTCCTTGCCTGTCCCCCACAGCTGGGGCCTCTTGCCCCACCTGCCCCATCACTGCCCAAGCCCTTCTCTCCATCCCCATGGCCACAGCCTCAACTCAGGCCCTTACCCCAACCTCCTCCCAGGCCTCCAGGTTTCCCCTGTGGCCCGTCCCCCATATGGTCCCAAGTCTTCCTATACCCAGAGCTTCCCCCCTGCTCACGGTCCTCACATGGCTCCCCAGTGCTTCTAGGACAACACCCCAGCCCTTCAATTTGCCATTGGAAGTGCTCTCTTTCATCTCTGCACAAGCACTGCCTCCTTTACCCAGAATTCCCTCCACTTCTCTCTCTGGTGAGCTCTTATTTATCCTTCAACACCCAACTCAAATATCCCCTCTTCCAGGAAGCCTGGGTGGCTTAAACAATAGGTATATCATCCCAGTGTTCTGGAATCTAGAAATTCAAAATCAAGGTGTAGGTTGAGTTGGCTCCTTTTGAGGACTGTGAGGCTTGTAGCCTCAAGCGCTCCTTGTCTTGCAGATGATGTTCTCCACGTCTTCACATCATCTTCCCTCTGCGTGTGTTGGCGTCCAAGTTTCCCCTTTTTATAAGGACATCAGTCCTATTGGATTAGGGTCCAGCCTAATGAACACATCTTAACCTGACCATCTGCAAAGACCCTATTTCCAAATAAGGTCACCTTCCCAGGTCCTTGGGGTCAGGAAGCCAACATCTTTGGTTGGTTGGGGGCGGGGGGCATAATTTAACCTGTCAGGGATCAACTCAAGTCCTAATTCCTCCTTAAAGTGTTCCTTCATTGCCCAATCCTCACCAGTCTGTCTCCTAAATCTCCAGAGTCTCATCCTCCAGACCCGTTTCATGCAGATGTGTCTAGTTATTTTTGTCTGTGTTCTGGAACAGTCCTCTTAGGATGGGAACTCACCGAGGGCAGCATCCAGGCCTTCGACACCCTCTCTGCACCCACAGTGCATTGATACAAAGAAACTGCTCTACGTTTTAAGAATGAATGAATGAAGTAATTCCACCAACAGGTACTGAACACCTCCTAATGGCAAGTTCTGCGCTTGTCTCTGGTGATGCAGTAGTGGATGAGAGAGACAAATCTCCCGACTTTCAAGGATTTTACATCCCAGTGGGAACAGAATAAGTAAGATAAACACATCAGATAGTGATCCACACTGTACTTGTGTCCTGGGGATGCCATAAAAAAGGTATCTCAAACTAAGTGGCTTAGAACAACAGAAATCTACTGTCTTGTGGTTCTGGAGACCAGGATCCTGAGATCAAAGTGTCAGCAGGGCAATGCTCCCTCTGAAACCTGCTGGAAAGGATCCTTCGTTGCCTCCTCCTAGCCCCCGATGGCTGCCAGCAATCTTTGGCACTCCTTGGCTTGCAACTGTATCCCTCCAGCCTCAACTTCTGCTGTTACGTGGTCAACTTTTGCTGTATCCTTGTGCATCTCTGTGTCTTTCACATGGTGTTCTTTTAAGAAGGACACTCAATCACATTGGATTAGGGGCCCACCCTGCTCCAGAATGAGTTCATTTTAACTAATGACACCTGCAATGACCCTATTTCCAAATAAGGTCTCATTCTGAGGGATGGAGGCTAGGACTTTAACACGTCCTGGGGGAGCGTGGGGTGGATACAGTTCAACCCTTAAACACACGCTAGAGCGAAACACAGAGAAAGGGGACAGCAAATGGTGGGGTGAAGGGCTGCTCCCTCAGACTGAATGATCTGGGAAGGTGTCCCTGTCACTCGAGTCACAGCCTGAAGGAGAGGAGTTGACTGATGAGTAACAGATATACATTTCACCGCCTGATGTTTATGGCATTTCCCTTGGCAACTTGGAGGTGTTCAATGCGTTTTTTTTTCCCTGCTCACTTCCTGGTTTGAAATGGGTGAGATTAAGAGGGAGCAGAACCACGGGGGTGTGGTTCCCGCAAGAATCTGAGAAGTTTTCCACCGTGTCAAATTCACTCCATCAGTTCTGAGAAGCCCCAGCAGCTGTGAGGCTGAGAAGCTGTCAGATCCTGACTCCAGCGAGAGGTCGGAGGGCCTCTGGTGAGTCCCAGCTGCTGCGTCCCGGCCAACGCCTCTGCCAGCTTATTTAGAATAACGTGCTCACCAAAGAGTGATTTGCATCATAGGTGTACAGCTCAACGACGTACCACAAAGTGAAGCACGTCCAGGAAGCCAGACTGAGAAAGCAGAACAGCCCAGCACCCTGAAGCCCTCCTGGTGCCCCTTCCCTCAAGGGTTACCCTTACGCTCACTTCTAACACTGTGAATCAGCTCTTCCTGTTCTTGAATTTCATATAAATGGAATCAGAAGCCCGCACTCCTTTCACTTAATGTATCCAGGTGCTACGTCAATTGTTTATTCTCACTGCTGCGTAATGGGTGTTGACAAACCAGATCTGGAGGCCAGATCTAGCCTGTTACCTGCAAATAAAATAAAATTTTATTGGACCACAACCACGCCCATGTGTTTAAAAAGTGCATTAAACACCTCCAACTTCTGTTGCCAGTAGACGCCCGCAGGCCGCCATGGCTGTGGCAGAGACCACACGTCCCCAAAAGCTGAAAATATTTACTATCTGGTCCTTAACAGAAAAAGTTTGTCAGCTCCTGCTGGACGACATTCCACTGTACAAACACAACACTGTGTATTTATCCATCTAACTGTCAATGGGTATTTGCGTCATTTCCAGTTCGGGGTATGACAGTAGGGCTGCTAAGAACATTCTAGTGCAAGGGATGTCAAACTTTTTCTAACCTTCTTATGATTAGATCAGTGATTTTCCACAGGGAGCAATTGTGTCACTTAGGGGACCCTTGACAATGTCTTGGGACCATTTTGATTGTTGCTAAGGACTGAATGTCTGTGTCCCCCCCACCCCAAGATTCATATATTGAAATTCTAATCCCCAGAATGATGGTATCAGGAAGTGGACAGTGATTAAGTCATGAAGATGGAGCCCTCAGGATTTCAATTAATGCCCTTATAAAAGAGCCCCCTACCCCCACACCATGTATAGATTCAACGAGAAGCCTGTGACCCTAAAGAAGGCCCTCACACGACCATCCTGGCACACTGAACTCCGACTTTCAGCCTCCAGAACCGTGAGAAATGAATGTCAGCTGTTTATAAGCTACCTGTCTACGGCATTTTGTTACAGCAGCTGAACAGACTAAGATGATTATCACGACAGGCCGGGAGTGCTGCTGGGTTGAGCCCAGGGATGCTGTTCAACATCCTACAGCGCATGGGACAGCCTCGCAACAAGGACTCATCAGCCCCAATGTCAGTAGCACGGAGGCTGAGAAACCCCGCCCTGGAGCCTCACTCCTTATTGCATGGATAACGTGCATGGATAATACAGTCTCCATGAAAGCGACAGCTACAAAGCCAGCCTGACAGGGGCACGGGTATCAAGTCAAAAACCATGAGCTGCTTTGCTGTCAGACCCGGGATTTTTTTTCCCCAAATGGTGATCAACTCCTGCTGACGTTCCTAGTACCATGGAGCGAAACCTCACAATTTACACGCCAGCCACACCCCGGAACAGTGGGTGTAAACTCAGACTGGGCAACGAGTATTTCATGTTTGTGTGTAAAACAGAGTTAAGTTCCAGGCTCAGATCATTATAAACAGGTTTTCCATCTGCCCACATTCTCTTCTCTTTCGCTCCCAAGAGGCTAATGCTCCCTGCCCAAGGCTACATAGCCAGGATTCTAACCCTCCACTCTTATCTTCAAAAAACAAATCTTGGTTACTCCATTCCTGCGTGTACTCATTTTTACATGCATTCCTCCATTCATCATTCATCCAATAAATACGTACTCTGGGCATCTACTGTGTGCTAGGCGCTGGGGGTACAGCCGTGAACAAAACAGAGGTCCCCACGTGGTGTTCATTTGCTTAGTCCATTCCTGCCTTTCCCTATAGCTGTGCTGTCCAGAAGAAACAGAATGTAAGCCACATAGACGATTTCAAGTTTTCTAGTAGCCACACTAAAAGCTAAGTAAAAAGAAACCACCACTGTTTTTTTTGTATATATTTTTTATTGAAGTATATATTTTACCATATTTTTAAAAAACGGATATATCCAAAGCATCACCATTTCAACATGTGATCAGTATAACAAATTATAATGAGATATTTGACACTGTTTTTTACCCTACATCTTCGAAATCCAGTGTATATGTTATAGTGACTGAAGGAAACTCACAACCTGAAAGTTGAGAATTATGTTTCATTTGGTGGGCTTTCTAAGGACTTCAAGTCCAGGAGACAGCCTCTCATATCTTTCTAAGGGACTGCTCCAAGAGGTAAGGGAGGAGTCAGCATATATAGGAATTTTTGCAACAAAGACCATGTAGTTGGAACATCCAAAGATTATCATTAATTAAAGAAAGGCTGATACCTCAAGTTAATGAATTTAGTACTTTTCTATGTATGGGAAGATGCAAGAGTTTGGGTTTATTGAAGTCATTCCTTTGATATGCATCTTAGCTGTCTAGGGCCAGTATCCTATGCTTTCCCATTCTGAGTCCCCTCGGGGGCACCACTGGGGGTGGCTGCAGAGGCTGAGGGCTTGGCATTGGGCAGCCTACTTGTCTCCATCCTGATTTCCCTCCAGCTCACGGTCGGGCACGGTGATGACTCGATGGCCGCAGCATCCTTTGTTTACTGATATGGCGGGCAACATTTTTCATTCACAGTTACACTTGTAGCCCATCTCGCTCGGACCAGCCTCATTTCAAGTGGTCAGGAGTAGCGACTGGTTTTCACATTAGACAATGCAATTTAATGCAGTTCAAATTCAACATTCCTAAAAGTAGAGTCCTTTTAGGTCTGGATTAAACTTCCGCTCTCTTGGCTGGATTTCTTCTCTTGGTCAAGGTTATTATCAGTCTTTCCCCAGATCTGTCTCCTCACCCCTCACCCCACCCTCCAACGCATTCTTTCTTCACAGGAGGGCTTACATTTATTCCCTCCTCTCTAAGCCCATGGCTGTCAGCATGTGTCCTCGTCACTTTTGTCATCCATGCCTTCACTCATTCATTCACTCATCCAACAACTATTTATTGGGTACCAGGTGCTGTCCTAGATGCTGGGGATGCAGCAGGGGGGATGTTCCTGTCCTCATAGAGCTTCCCTCTGATGTAAAATCCCCTCGCTGCTGAGGGCTTCCACGGAAACATGCTGGTGCTCTGAGGATATTTAATAGAGAGATCTGACCTTGCTGGGGCTATCCAGATGGCTTCCCTGAGGAGGGTCCTCACTGGGCTCTGATCTGAAGAATGAGTAGGAGTTACTAGGTGGAATGAGAGGGAAAGGTGGCTCAGGCAGAAAGAACAGCATAGCCAAAGGTCCTACAACAGGAGGATACAAGGTTCTTGCTGAGAACAGAAACAAGGTCAGTGCTGCTGGAGAGAAGCCAGCAGGACAAGGCGTGTGGTGAGGCTGGAGATGTGGGGAGGGCTGAGTGGTGAGGAGTCCGGACTTTATCCTGAGTGCAAAGGAAACCTCTGGACGCTTTAAGCAGGGAGGGTGGGATGGGACTTTGCACTAGAAAGGTCTCTATGACAAAGACTGAAGAATGGACTGAGGGGAGCAGAGGGCAGGTGGGGAGAGCTGTCAGGGAGCTGTCGACCACTCTGTGACCATGGTGACTTCATCCATTCATTTCTTTGCAACAAGACCTCGCCTCTAAACCCCAGACTCATTTACCCACCTGTTCACCCGACATTTCCGTATGGTGTCAAACAGACATTTCATCCTGGTTCCAAAATGAACGCCTCACCTCTCCCCCTCTGTCTTCATTACCACAAACTTCAAAGCTTCGCACAGCAAATTTCTTCTCTTACAGTTCTGGAGGCCAGGAGTCTGTTAACAGTCTCACTGGGCTAAAACCAAAGCTTGGGCAGGGCTGGCTCCCTCCAGAAGTTCTGAGGGGACAATCTGTTTCCTGGCCCTTTCCAGCTTCTAGAGACCACCCGCATCCTTTGGCTTGTGGTCCCTTCCAACCTCTGCTTCCATTGTCACCTCTCCTACTGTCTTTGGTCTTTCTGCTCCGTCTTAAAAGAATGCTTGTGTTGACCTTGGGTCCAGTAGGATCATTCAACAGCATTTCCCCACTTCATGGTCTTTCATTTAATCACCTCTGCAAAGTCCCTTTTACCCTGTTAGGTCACAGACTCACTGGTTCTGGAGATTAGGACCTGGCCATCTTTGAGGGAGTCATTATTCAACCCATCACATTATCCCCAGGCCAGCTCCTCTCCACCTCCCGGTCTCAGGGGAAGGCAGTTGGATCCTTCCAGGTCAAAACCCCTTGGAGTCACCCTGGATTTCTTGCTTTCTCTCTCATCTCATATCCAACCTGTCAACAGATTCCATAGTCTTTATCTTCAAAATATATTCTGGATTCCACCATTCCCTATTACCCACCTGCCACCCCCTGGTCTGTCCCACCGTTATCTCCTGATTCATCTATTGCCTTCTTGCTGGGCTCCCTGCTTCCATCCACAGCCTGTCCGCTGCCTGGCAGCCAGAAAGATCCTGTTAAAACTGCAGTCATATCTCACCCCTCCTCTGCCCCAAATTCTCTCAACATGGACAGAAATTGTCCCTCCAGAATGCATCAGTTGAAGCCCTAACCCCCGGCATGACAGTATTATCTTTGGAGAGAGTTAGGTTTAGCTGAGGTCATGAGGCTGGACCCCCAGGATGGGATTAGTGCCCCTGTAAGGAGATGAAGAGAGACCAGAAATCATGTTCTTTCTACCAAAGACGGAGGGAGAAGCCACCATCTGCAAGCCATGCAGACAGCTCTCACTGGGGGAGGTATCTGCTGACACCTTGATCTTGGACTTCCCAGCCTCCAGACTTTGAGAAATAAAATTCCTGTCGTTTGAGCCACCCAGTTTGTGGGTTTGTTTTTTTTTTTTATGACAGCCTGAGCAGACTAAGACCTTTCCCCTGGCCCTTCCCTGGCTCAGAGTAAAAGAAGCATGCTTACCCTAAGGCCTATAAAACCTGTGTGACCCACCCCATCTCCCCTTTGACCCTGCCTGGGATCTTCAACTCTTTCCCCAATGCACTCAGTTGCTATCACACTTTGCCATTCCTTGAAAATGCCAGGCATGTTTGCACCCCAGGGCATTTGCACTTGCTGCTCCCTCTGCCCAGAAGACTTTTCCTTGAGATACCCCCATGATTCACTCCCTCATCTCCATCCAGACTTCACCTTCATCAGTGAGGCCTCCCTTGGCAGAACCATGGAAATGATCAACACCCCCCTTCACTCTCAATCTCCTTTCCCACTTTGTTTTCTTCTTTTGGGGACATAAGACCATGCAACAGAATGGGGAAGGGTAGAGCTCAGTGGTAGAGCACATCCTTAGCATACACAAGGTCCTGGGCTCGATCACCAGTACCTCCATTAAATATAAATAATAATAATAATGAATACACCTAATTACCCCCCCAAAAAAACAACAAACAAACGAAAAATCAAGACCATATGGTCTGCAAAGTCCAAAAATATTTACAAACTGGCCCTTTATACAAAAAGTTTGCCGATCTCTGCCCTAAAATTAAAATCTCACATTTTTGGGATACTTGTATATATATGGTTCCCCCAACATGTTTTATTATATAGTCTTCACCTCAACCAGTACGATTATGAATATCCCACTTTATAGATGAGGAAGTGGAGGTTCAAAGAGGTATGGTAATTTTCCCAAGCTCACACAGCAAGCGAGGGAGGGGCAGAGCTCAGCGTACACTTGGTTTTACACCCTGTGTTTTTCCCTTAGGAACCTATCTCATAACTGTGTGCATCTATCACATTTGTTGATTTTACAGCCTCCTCCTGGGGCTTACCTGACAGTCCCCACCTGATGAACGTTTAGGTTATTTCCCCTCTAATCTTCTAGGATTCTGCAGTGCTGCAGTGAATATTCGTGCACTTAGTTCTTTGAGCTCATGTGTGAGTTTTATCTGAAGACTGAATTCCTGGAATGGTTGTTGCCGGCCAAAGGGCATGTGCCAGGCTGTGACTTGGGCGTGGAGTTGAGTCCACTGGGCAGTGTACTGGGAGGGCATTCTGGTCACAGGGACCTGCCTGCACAAGGGTCTGGAGGTGTGATTCAGGCTACCCTGAGTGCCCATGTCTGCACAGTAAAGGTGATACAGGCAGGAGGCCGACAAGCAAAGGTGATGCCAAGTATCTCCAATGCTGGGCTGAGCTCTGTCCTGGGGGCACTGGGGAGACATGGGAGGGCTTTGAGCAAAGCAGGGGGCAAATCAGCTCTGGGGCCCTGGAGGGAATGGGCTGGATGGGGAGACTGGAGGCAGGGAGGCCAGGGAGAGGGCTGGGGCCGGGACCAAGGAGAGAGGATGGGGGCGGAGTTGTTCCCAATCAGAATGTCTGAGTGAATCAGTGGGATACCTCTCTCCTGCTGCTTTTAACTCACATTTATGGGACAATGTCTATGTGCCAAGGACTTTAAATTCATCATCCCATTTGCCCCTCAGAGCAAAAGTATCATAGAGATACTAATGCTTCTTCATTTCACAGATAAGAATACTGAGGCTCAGGGAGGGAACTATCTTCCTGGCCACACAGCTCATGGGGGCCAGCCTGGGATTCTGACTCTACGCCTCAGAGTCTCCCTCTCTCGCTTTTAATTTTAAACTTTTTTAGATATAATTTACATACCATGAAATTCACCATTTTTTAAACTGACATAAAGTTGATTTACAATGTTGTGTTAGTTTCAGGTGTACAGCAAAATGATTCAGTTATACATATACATATATATTATTTTTCAGATTCTTTTCCATTATAGGTTATTATAAGATACAGAA